TGCCTTTGGAAAGCAAAGTTCACTTTCCTCAGGGAAATATTCCTGTTCCAGATTGGATGCACATCTTTTTCTTGTCATCTAGTGCATGGTAGAATGCTCTTAGGAGCAGGTGGCTCTATGTGATCAATTCCTGAGGAAAATGGATAGAGAAAGACATGGATATTTGCAGTACAAACCAAATGCACTGTTTGAGCAATAATGTATTCAACACTAAGCCTGGGCTGTTTAAAGAAAGAGCAAACACAACAAATTCTGAATTGAATTCCATCACTTGATGTATAACACCTGCACATAGGGATCAAATATTTAATCTCTCTGAATCTGTTTTCTCCTTCAAAAAAGAGCATATAGCATGTCTCTTCTGAGATTTGTTGTAAGAACAGACATAGAACACATGTAACAGACTAGCATACAACAGGTGTTCCTCTGGTCAACTTTCAAGCTTGTTGATAACAACTAACCCAGACCATGACCCTTGCGTTTTTTTCCTGGGAAGGGACAAATAGTTACTATTTTAGGTTTTGTGGATCAGGAGGTACATAAGTACCTACATAAGAGGATTTTTAATTGAGCAACAATTAAATCTTTTTTTTCCTGACATTGTTCTACTTATTAAAAGAGTATTTTTCCCCCCCAAGGGGCTTTGCATTTCATGAAATTGAGGGTCACAAGTTAATGTTCCCTCTCATCAGATGATTAGTGTTTGGAACTTTTAATATTGTTTATGTAGTCGAGAGGGATATAGGCCCACATGGTCTTCATTGAGGGTGGGAGGGTAAAGGAGGTTAAGGTTTGGAGAAGAGGGGGATGGGACAAATGTTCCAATTTTTTTCTGCTGTGTCCACAAAGGGGGAAGGGGAGGGTGCCACTCCTTGCTATCACACTACATCAGCACATAGGGATAGGGGACTGTCCTTAGAGACCATGATGTGGAGAAGTGTTCCAAGGGTGTTACCTCAGTGGTTTTGATACACAGGAGACACTATTAGCTTCATTGCACCAGGGTTGAGAAAACCTTTCCGAGGTCTGTTGGCTGAGTAGGTACACTTCAGTGTATCCCAGGTCCTGGAACACGTTACAAAGTTCTGCCAGGAGAGTGGTTCAACCTGTTCTGCTTTCCATCCTCTGACCGTCTTCTGATGAGGCATCCAATGTCCCCTGCTGGCTTAGATGAACTGACTGTCTGGGCATGCTATCCTCTGTACAGTCATCAGCAACTAAGGTGGTCCAGTTCAGTACATGCACTCTAAAGCTATACCATATATTTTATGATTTTCTCTGTAGCTGGGGTTTGAGTCCAAACATCTTGTTGGAGATTCCCCCAAGAAACTTCATTTGCAGTGATCTCAGACTTGACCAATGCAGGATCAGGTTTGAGCCATCATCTGCATCAGCCAAAGCTCATACTGGTGGATACAGCTGCCTGGTCAGTTCCTCCCCTAGACTCATCTCTGCATGAACTGATGGGTGTTGTGACCTAGCCCAGCCTAGCCCAGCCTAGCCCACCACAGGCCCAGTCTTCAGATACACCGGTGAATGCCATGATCTAGTTGAGATGACCCCTAATAATCTCCACTAGGCCCACGCCCAACCTCATTTCACATATGCCAGCATGTTCTGGCTCATGTACACACTGATGGGTGCTGTGGCTTAGCTCAGCCTGCCCACCTTCCCCCAGACTTGGGCCATATGTGTGCTAATAGGTGCTGCTTGCCTTGATCAGCTACCCCCAGCTCTGGCTCTCATGATCACCAGTGAGAGCTACAGTCCAGCAGGGGAGTAAACACAATTCCCCTTTTCCCGGCCTTTGGGATTGCACCTGCCAAGAGTCCAGCTTATATGATTCTCACCTAGTCACACCACTTGCCAGTGGGTTCTGTAGCCTAGCTTGGTTGACCTGCAATTATACTGGTTCTTGCATGCACCAGTGGGTGCAGCAGCCTAGTCCAGCCAGGCCTGCCCAAGACCAGTCTGCCCCCAGTCCTGTCTACCTCTCATGCTCACCAGTGGAAACTAGAATCCAGTAAAGGAGTCTCTAAAGTTCCCCTACCAGGTCCAGTCCCAGCCTTTAGACTTCTGCATGGCAACAGGTACTGTAGCCCAGTCTGAGATGGCCCGCCCCCAGTCTTGATAATCACCAGCAGGTGCTATAACTTGCCTCAGCCCAGCCTGTCCCCAGTCCCAGCTGTCACTGGGGGTTGCAGGAGCCTAGCCCAGCTTGGCATGCCCCAGGCATCATGTGAACTAGCAGGAGTTGTGGTCCATCTTGGCCTGACCTGCACCCTGGCCTGGCTCTTACTGTGCCAATATATCCTATGGACTAACCCAGTCATGTTCCCTTCCAGACCGAGCTCACACTTCTGCTGACTGGTGCTGCAGCCCTGTGTGGCCTGTCCTGTCTTCAGTCTCAGCTTGCCTGCTCACCAGTGGGAGCTATAGCTAAGCAGGGAAGTTCCTCAAGTTTACTTACCAGGCCCTAAATCTTGTGTTTGTTAGTGGATGTTAGTCCTGATGCTCATCAGTAAGTACTGTGGCGCAGCCTGACTGTCCCACACTCATCCTGGCTCTTGCCAGAAGATGCTACAGTCCAGCCCAGCCTGGCCCACCTCCAGACCTGCTGTCATGTAAACCAGCAGGTGCCATGGTATAGCCTGGCTTTTTCATAATCATGTTGGCTCTTGTAAGCATCAGTGGGTGCTGGGACCTAGCCCACTTTAGCCCACCCCAAACTCAGCTCACATACATCCTGGACAGGCACTGCAGCCTTGCCCAGGTTGGTCTGCCCACAGTTCTGGCTCTCAAAATCAACAGTGGGAGTTGCAGTCTAGCAGGGGAGTCCACAGAGTTCCTGCACCAGGTCCTTCCCAGTCCTGCGTCTTGTGCATCCTGGCAAATGCTTCAACCCAGCCTGGCATGGCCCACTCACAGTTTTAGCACTCATTGGCAGGTTTTGCAACCTAGCCTAGTTGGGCATGGCCTACGCCTTGTTATGGCTTTCATGCATATCATCTGGTGCTGTGGCTTCACCCAGTCAGGCCTCCCCCAAGAAAACTATCATCTGGGTAGAAGAATGAAATAATTATTTCAATTAAGCAGGCTCTTGGAAGCTACAGGGCTGCATAGCTTTACCTAATCTAATGATTCTTACAGAAAAAACAGGAAGAAAATGTCAGGCCACACAAACTGACCACCCACAGAGAATGATCATGCAGTGAATGGTTACAAAAAGTTATTCCAACAACTTCTTTCCGCTTTTGATCATGTAAGATATGGACATGCCTGTTCCTCTGTAATGGCATTGCTACAGAAGGGGTTAAAATTTGGCACATAAATGTCAGAGTGCATTCCTGACTCTCTTCCACTGACCCAACTGATTCAGATTTATAAATGATCTAACAGTGCTCAAATAAAAATGGGATCAAACAAATGTAGCAATAGATATTCTTCACAAATAGTGAACATGTTTTAGTGGAAAGGTAACATGCAGTGGAAATTATCCAACAGAATGAAGAACATCAGAGTTAATGTTAAGGGGAAGCAGTGTGATGTCTTTGATAACCCATTTGCCTAGAGAGACCATGTTTCTGAATTTTTGAGGGATAGACAAGGGAAAGGATTGAAATCTGCAGACCATGAAGGGATTGGGGCTTGGTGTGGTGGCTCAACTGGCTAAATCCTCACCTTGTAAGTGCCAGGATCCTGTATGGGGATTGATTTGTGTCCTGGCTGCTCCACTTCCCATCCAGTTCCCTGCTTATGGCCTGGGAAAGCAATGGAGAATGGACTGGTTCAAAGCCTTGGGACCCTGCACCCTCTTGGGAGACCTGGAGGAAGCTCTTGACTCCTGGCCTCATATAGGCTTAGCTCTGGCTGTTGTCGCCACTGGGGGAGTGAACTAGCAGATGGTGAGTCTTACTCTCTGCCTCTCTTTCTGTAAATCTGATCTGCCTTTTTGATAAAAATAAATAAATCTTTGAAGAAAAAAACATGAATGGATCAAAGTATGTTAGAAAGAATCCAATCATGAAAGGTAGATTCTTTTTTTTTTCTTGAAACAATTTGACTTTTTTTGAAAAATTGTTACTAACATTGGATTATGTGATACAGTTTTATAGGCACTGGGGAGATTCTTACTGTGATGATATTTCAAAAAGTTTCTGGGAAAATGGAATTGAAAGATTAGTCTATTTTAGTCTCATCCAAATTTGAAATCCCAGCACAGTTTTTTTTTTGTAATTTCACCTTCCATGAACTGTTGAAGTATTTTCTGTATTACAAGAAAAAATTATATTAGTTTTTCATTTGTTTATCACTATAATGCAATACCCAAGACAAGCAACCTATGAAAGAAAAATGTTTGTTTGGTTCCTTTTGAAGGTTCAAAGTCCTGACTCTGATGCGGGCTTGCTAGTGGGTGATGGAGCCCACATGGAGGAAAGATCAGGTAGTGAGCTAGGATACAGGGTAGTGGGGCCCGAATTCAGGCTTTTCCAACAACTGTCTCCAGATACTGTCTTCCGAGGCCATTGCTCTCTGCTGTAACCTAGGGATCTCTCACTAACCCTCTCTCTAAATACACCAAGCCTTTAACAAATGGTCCTTAGGGGGACATTCAATTGCCAAACAAAAGCAGAAAAGCTCCCATTGTAACCCATAATTCCAAACCTGGATGGAAATTTGTGGGCGTTAAGGGCAAGGATAAAATTTAAGATGGTTGAATAGAGAATTCCTGCTTGGGAAAATAGCTGTTTTGAGGCAGAAATATTTTAATATGTATCCTTTTAGTTATAGAGAAGTTTTTATTCACAGAATGTTCAACAAACGAGTTTTGGTGGTGTATTAAAAAATAATGCCTCTCTGATTGATGCTAATACATCTCTTTCCATTTGCGTGCTAAGAGAACGCAGAGCAAATGCATTTGCTTTTAACTTAACTGAAAATCAGAATAAAATACCCACTTTACCTGAGAAGAAATGCCAAGAAGAAAAACTGAAGGGTACTTTCCAAGCAAAATTTATTATATGTCTATTGAAGAAAAACACAATGACTTTTGCCTGTAAGAATTCAAAGTCAATTACCTGAAAGCAGGTTTGGATATTTTGTTTTCTTTTAAAATCAGATACAGAGAGTAGAAACAGCAGTTTTTTAAAATATTGACAGGCAACAGATATTGAAGTCTTCTTTCATAAATGGCATCAAAGATAATTAGTCCTTTATCAGCAAAGCTGCATGCAGTTGACTTAATTTCAAACCCAAAGCCTTTAAAATATAAAGCTGGTTGTGAACTTGACAGTAATCAAGATAGGCTACTTAAAGATGTTTATTTACCTCTTTCCCAATACAATTCTTTAAAATCAATACTTCTGCACATTTCAGTTTGGCTGCTAGAATCTCTGAATTTTGTGATTTTTTTTTGCATAATTGCTATCTTACAGAATCAGAATCAAGGATTGACTGTGATCCATCAGATAAGTGACAGATAATCTGCTCAATTTAGCTTTACTGAAAGATAGAGAACAAATTAGGAAATTCCCCCCCTTTTTTTTCTCAACAACTAAATAGTCTGTACAAAAAAAGAGCAAACATATGTACAAAATTCTAGGGTCTACATTCTGTGAAAAGATCAATCACTGTCCATGGAAGAAATACCATAAAAAGTTTAATCTATAAGGTGCTCAAAAATTCAAAGATGAATAGTTCTTATGCAAAGTCATAAGAAATAGAAAGCTAATTTTTGTGTTAGGCAAAGTTCAGGCACTGTTTAACCACCTTAAATCTTTCAGGTCTCTATGTCATGTTATAGTTTTCTGCTTTGGGGGCAGAGAAAAAAAACCTGAATGATTTAATAGTGTCTCTAAAAAGTGCCTATTTAATCCTAGGAGATACTTAACACACACCAGGAAAATTAGGCTCAACATATTCCTGTCCTCAAATGTAGCCAGGGTTCTGAGTTCCATAGAAGAAAAATAATTATCATAGTAAAAATAATTGTATTGATCGCAATCCTTGCTAAAACCAGCTTTAATACTTGTGATGCTTCTGAAGTACTCTATTTCTACAAAATAATATGTGAGATTGTTTCACATTTCCATAAAATGTATAATGTATCAAATGGATTAATGTTCTCATACAATCTCAAATGTGTATGTGTACACACAGTGAAAGATTACCTACGAATATTGCTTACAGATACTTTCAAGTGTCTATGTTAGAGTAATTCGTTGCACCTCTCACTAACACTGCTTTTATTCAAATTCTACCAGATAAATAAAACTCTAAGAGCTCATTGTTCATGATGCTGATGACTACATTTTAATATAAAATAGCAAGGCAACTTTACAACACAATAGTTTTTCTCCATTGTAGTCTAGCTAACCCTCTTGTAGTCTCATGATGATGACCAAGGCTCTTACTGTTTGCACTTCTAAAATGCCCCCCAAAAAATGTGCAGAAAAAAACTTCCACTTGAAAACTCACATTCAATCAACAAAATCACACCCATCCAAATTAACTTTCTTACTCTTACTTTAGATTTTATAATCACTGTGCATATTACAACATACAAGTGCAGGCAAACAATAGCTGAAGTACAGTTGTCACATCGTGTAAACTGGGACACTAGGCAAATGCATGAAAGGAAAATCTAGTGCCAAGCTAAGAATGTAAAACTGCAAACCCCAGCATTCCAGAAAAAACACTCTTCTGGTGGCCTGGGGAGAGTGCATCTTCCAGAGATGTTGAAGGAGAACCACAGCAGTCAGAACATCTCCTGGAGGCATTTTGCTTTTTCTTTCTTTCTTTGCCTTAGATATTTTATCCTTATTCAATAGAATAACTTTCTTTCTGATCCCACACATCAACTTTTCAAAGTTTCAAGCAGAGAGCTAAAAGAAACGCTTTTGAGAGGAAGCCAGTCTGTCGCATCTCCCCAGGGCGCACAGGGCAGTTACACTGCTGGTGGTTCAGTAGCAGCAGGTGGAGGGGGTGGTGTCACACTGGAAACCATAAGGCATGAAAACACGAGGCCTGCAGGGATGTCTTGGGCAAGTGTATGCAGACGTGTTGCTGAAATGTGGCATAAATAAGGAGGGAGAGTAATTCATAACCTCTTGACGTAGTTCCCGGGAAAAGTACCAAAGAATTTGGTTCTTCTCGAAGTTCCTGAAAAAAGAAACAATAAATGAAAAGGTGTAACAGCAATGAAATGTCAGTTTGTATATGTGGGCTAGAATGTTTTCCATTTATAAGGATTCATGAGAGAGCAGGATCTAACAGCTTTGGAAAGGAATGAAAAAAAAAAAAAACACCTCTTAAGATGGGAGGAAGACAAAATAAGTAAGTTTAGCTTTTCTGCCTAGCATGTTCATGGCCTTTTAGGCATAAATGATGTGCTTCGTCACAGGCTAAGCAGAAAAGCCCAGCCTCTCCATGTAAAGGGAAGACAAGAATGCTGGGGAGGAGGCCATAGAGTTTAGTTGCTTAGGCTGCTAAGCTAAAGGAGGACTTAGAAATAAATATGAGACTGACAGAGTTATAGTGCAGTGGGAAAGAACAAGAGCAAAGGCTAGTTCGGGGGCAAGAGGTTTCCAAGACACAAGTGACTATGAGGCCACTAGTTGGTGGCACTGTGGCTCTGAAACAGTCCTGTCTCCTGTAAGATTATGCTCGATGCTGCATCCTCTTCTTAAAAATAGCATTGTCGGGCCCGACGCGGTGGCGCAAGTGGTTAAGTCCTCGCCTTGCACGCCCGGGATCCCATATGGGCGCCGGTTCTAATCCCGGCAGCCCCGCTTCCCTTCCAGCTCCCTGCCTGTGGCCTGGGAAAGCAGTCGAGGACGGCCCAAGGCTTTGGGACCCTGCACCCGCGTGGGAGACCCAGAAGAGGCTCCTGGCTTCGGATCGGCATAGTATCGACCCGTTGCGCTCACTTGGGGAGTGAATCATCGGACGGAAGATCTTCCTCTCTGTCTCTCCTCTCTGTATATCCGCCTTTCCAATAAAAAATAATAAAAATAAATCTTTAAAAAAAATAGCATTGTCACAATACTTTATTAAACACAGAAATGTTGAAGAATTTACTCAGTAAAGGAGGGAAAAAAAGACTAATTACTATTTGAAAGTGATGAGTCTGTCCCACAAGTGATTTCTGACATAGTGAGTTCATCCAAATGTATAATTGCGTTTGTTTCAAATAGCATGATTCCTATGAAATTTGTTGTACAAGTTGATATATTCATTCTTGAATATTCCAGTGCAAATAGGGTGAAGAATTTTTCTTAAAGATTTATTTATTTATTGGAAAGGCGGATATACAGAGAGGAGAGACAGAGAGGAAGATCTTCTGTCCGATGATTCACTCCCCCAGTGAGCGCAACGGCCAATGCTATGCTGATTCGAAGCCAGGAGCCTCTTCAGGGTCTCCCACACAGGTGCAGGGTCCCAAAGCTTTGGGCCGTCCTCTGCTGCTTTCCCAGGCCACAGGCAGGGAGCTGGAAGGGAAGTGGAGCTGCCGGGATTAGAACCGGCGCCCATGTGGGATCCCGGGCGAGTTCAAGGTGAGGACTTCTAGCTGCTAGGCCACGCTGCCGGGCCCAAGGGTAAAGAATTTTTCAACCTGTGTTTCTCATTTGCACTCTTTCTTGGTCTGTTGTAAGCTGGTTCACTTTTCTTCTAGACCATCCTTAACATAAATAGAGTCAGAGGGCTGGCATGGCAGTGAAGTGGGTTAAGCTGCTCATCCCATGTGGGCACTGGTTTGTTCCCTGCACCCCATTTGGGCTCTGGTTCATTCTCTGCTAATGTGTTTGGGAGAGCAGTGGAGCATGGTCCAAGTACTTTGGTCTCTGAATACAGTTTGGAGACCTGGAAGAAATAACGAGCTTCAGCCTGGCCCAGACCTGGCCATTGTGGCCATATGTGGAGTGAACACCAGCAGATAGAAACCTCTCTCTCTGTCCCTTTCTCTCTCTTTCTCTATCTGAAATAAATAAAACTTAATCTCCTTTATCAAAAAAACTCAGAGGCATGTGAAGGCACAGGTGGCCACAGTCCTTTCATTTTCCCATCATGGATAGCCCTGTCTGCAGCCATCCCTGGGTACCTGTGCTCTTGCTTCCCTCGCTCCTGGTCTGTGCTTCTTCGCTGTCTTTCCTCTGTGTCCTGCTGTGCATCACATTGGAATGAAAGCCATTCCCCGCTACTCCCCTCCCCAACCCGGAAAACCTCTGGTCCTCATTTAAGACATTTAGAATAGGGTTACCTTCTAAATGGGAAGGTTGGAACTTCTTGCAAATTAAAGCTAAGGTGAATCATGAGACTTTAGGGCACATACACCAGGTCCAGGAAATGGCAGAGTTGCTCACTCAATTTACTCCCTCTCAAATCAGATTCTCACTACTGACAACTAACATTTCCCATGCATAAGGCACTATATTTCTCATCCGGGGAACATTTTCATTATTGTTTGTTGTTGAATCTCAGTCTTCCCTGGTTGGTACTATTTAAAGTTTTCTTTTCTTAGTTGAGTTGGAAATAAAGCTAGCATAAAATCACATGTACACGAGGGAGTAAATCTGAAAATCTACTAAAGACACAATGGCCTTGGGATTACACTGTGCATATGAATTCAAGGACATCATGAATCCAAAGATCAGCTGACTATCACAGCAAAACATGCAAGTGAACAAACTCAAGCAAATTTCTCTGTAAAAAAAAAGTATACACATACCCACAAACCATCCATCATCACACTTTTCCATCACATCAATGACGTCGCTTTCTCTGAGTTCCAGCTCATCTTCATTTCTAGGAGTATAGTTATACAGAGCCTGAAACCTTAAACAGCACAAAAGGGCACACTTAGAACACAGTCTTCACACTTCGGTCTATTAGAAGCTAGTGTAATATTCATTTGATGTGTAATATTTGTTTTGTTAACATAGTATATTAGGCCGTGTAAATCTTTGGCAAAGATGCCAACTAAACAGGGCTATTTGGACTTTAATGGGAATTAAACTAACAACATTTTAAAGCTTACAATGAAGATATGCATGAGCATTTCAGTATTCATTCATGAGTTTGATTTAAAGATTTTAACATTTGCAAGTCAGACCTGCATTTCGATGATCCACTCACACAATGCCCATTATGAAGATATTAAATAATAGCACACAATGTGAAATAAATATTACTGATATTTTTCAGTTAGAGAAACTTTTTCACACATGTCTTCAAAATCATTCCATAATAATTATTACAAAAAGGGAGACTATTTTTTTTATCTGAAAGAATTTTGTAAAACAGTTTAGTTTTATAGTTGGAGTCAGAGGGTTTATAATTAAAGTTGAATGGATGTATTTCTTACAGTTACAATTAAACCAATTCAAAATAGTAAATTATATTTGCAAGTTCCTTTAAAGATAGGTTCTGGAGAAACTGATTTAAAAACTCTTCCTTAAAATATTATTATTGATAACATGGTACCACTTTTCTTCTCCCCCTTGTCTGAACTGTTTGATAAGCTATATTACAGTGACATTGATCAGTAATGAGTTTAGACATTGAATTTATGAGAATAAAACTGCCTGTATCATGGTGAGTATCAACATGGAGTGACACATGGGAAAGTGAAGGCAGAAACTGTAGCAGCTGAGAATGGAAGAATTTGCTATGTAATTGAATGGAAGATTTTTTAATAGTATTAATATTATATATTACCACTTACTGAGGAGATTTTTAAAAAGTTGGTAAGTTTGTTTCTTTAAAATTGTTTCTTTAAAGCAATTGGGTAGTTCCGCTACTATAAGAAAATAAGAATCAGGGCCTGGCACTGTAGTCTAGCAGCTAAAGTCCCAGCCTTGCATGTTTGGGGATCCCATATGGATGCCAGTTCTAATCCTGGCAGCCCTGCTTCCCATCCAGCTCCCTGCTTGTGGCTTGGGAAAGCAGTGAAGATGACCCAAAGCCTTGGGAACCTGCACTCATGTAGGAGACCCAGAAGAGGCTCCGGACTTCTGATTTCGGATTGGTGCAGCTCTGGCCATTGTGGCTGGCTGGGGAGTGAATCAACAGATGGAAGATCGTCCTCTTTGTCTCTCCTCTCTGTATATCTGACTTTGCAATAAAAATGAATAGATTTTAAAAAAGATAAAGAAAAAAAATAAGAATCAAATTCTAAGGATTTTTTAAGACCAAATTTAAAAAGTTCATAGACCAAATTTAAAAAGTTCATAATATTGAATAATGCTGAAGAACATAACTGATTTATTTCTATTTCCTTTACTGAGCCAGAAAGTCTCATGTTGGTACACAAAACCTTTTCTAGTCCCCGAACTCTGGTATCATGTTTTAAGGAATATGGATCTCTCGGCTTCCTTGCCTGGCTGTGAATTTTTCTGATTGGTGGATATGAATCCATTTAGTTTCAAGGCATGTCTGGGAAAGGGCTGGTAAGTGGTGATGCTTGACAGCCTTTCTAGAAAACATTGTCTTGTCTGGGCTGGCACCAAAGCCTGCAGTTCCAACACTAGGAAGTCATTCTGGCCACTCCCTTTCTTCTGAGTATGGACTTGTGAGGTCTTTGATTGAGACAAAGGAGGACAGCCAGAATTCCAGAGTGTTGGGCACCAGGACAAAGGAGCAGGGAAACCAAGCATGGGTCACAGCAATCAGTTCTGTGGCTGTTCGTGTGAAGGATTTGATGTTGAGGCTGCTTAAAAGAAGGATGCTATGTTTTGTGTACTCATGAGGAACGTGATTTCAGCAAGGTCCCTTCTTCAATTTCATATTTGCATGAGATGTTCTTTGTGGGCAAAATTTGCATGGGCTTATCCTGCCCCCTTCCCTTGGGGAAAACTGACTTTTCTGGCCTAACCCAAGTTCGGGCTGGCACCTCTACAAGCACAGATGGAGACAGGCCTTTTGAAGGCCACAAACCCCAGCTGCTTCAAGAAATGCAAGGTTCCAAGAAGTAACAAATAAAAACCGGCAGGGACTCCTACTTGGGTATCTGTATGATGAAGGTCAGCACACTCGTCACAATGGACTCACCATTCTGATTTAATTAGACCACAAAACAAAACAAAATAAATGAGATTTTTGCATTCATAACCAAAACCTTCCGGAAATCCTCCTACCTCTGCTGGCTTTCAAAATCAGTGCTGTACAACAGGAAACAAAGTTGAATAATAATAATAATAATAATAATAAATGCTGTTTGTTTCCCAAGGTGTGTTGGTTATATGAATGATGGCTATGGGGTCAGGATGGCTCAACAAGAGATTTATTTTTATAAATAGGAACTGCTGAGCCCAAGTGGAATCTCTCTACCTTGCACCTTTCTCTGTAATATATTACACTGAAACCCGAATTGTAGGGCTATAACATTAAGTCCCTCTTTTTGTTCAAAACCTGGTTTTTAATTCACAAGGTATTAAATAATAACTCATGATACCCTAACTCAGGCTTGAGCCAAACAGAAATTTAAGACAGAATGTTTTTGAATGTCCAGCATAGGGTGCCGAGAATGTGTTGCCTCCCATCTGTGAGTGCTGTCACCTTGTACCAACTGAATGACCACGGTTGTACATTACACACATAGTAACACGCCTTTTCTTTCACGAGTTTCTTAAAAGCTGCTGAATATAAAATGCAGTGGTAATGAAACAAGCTGAAACAGCCCTGGAATTTAGTTTTTGTGTTGTGATCCTATCATCATTTACATACCTGAGAATATAAACAAAAACTTTAGAGAGACTTTGATGTTTTCCACCTGAGAGGAGTTTTAAATGATTGCTATTTCTAACTTGTTCTTTTTGTGGCACAGGCACTTGCTCAACAGGAGCACATTTCTGCTTCTGCTTTGTGAGAAATGGTTTCAGGAGAGTGTGCTTTTAAAAGGGTGCAGGAGACAGGATGGAAGAGGGATGTTCAAGATGATAAAGGCACCTGCCATGCGCCACAGCACCAGCCATGAGCTGGAGTTTTGGTAGTTGGCTCTTGCCCAGGTGGGCAAAGCCTGGGTAGTAACCCTGAGTTCTGTGTGTGCTTACATAGCCATGTAAAGCTTGGAGTGTAAATGCTACTTTCCAAGGGCCTTGTTCCTAACTCCAGACTAGCCAAAAGGTCAAAAGGAAGTTGACTTCTGAGCATTTCCCATGAGAAAAATGGAGAAAAAAAAAGAAAGAAAATTATTAAAGACAATGTGTAATACTAGAAATTAAGCTTTAGCATCAGAAAAGAGGAAAATTTGAAAAGACATTTTTCTGGTGCTGTGGGAAGTAATACGTAAGTAAATGAAAGTGTTTTAGTATTGCTGTCTTGAAGACACTATTAAGCATGCAACTTTGACTTGTCATGAATAACCATCTGGGTCTACCGTTACAGCTGGATCTGCTTTAACCGTCTCCATTGTTCCTCAGACAACCAGTAGAGCAGAGAAGGAGAATCACTGCAACATTGGAATTTTTCCTTGTATATAAATCAAAATATTCTCCAAAATAATGAGTTTCTTCTTAAAATGAGCTCCTGCCTCTGTCACGTAAGGTGGGACTATTTATAATTTCCTTTAATTTAGGAAGCCTCATGTTAGTCACTTTGGTGTTTTTGCACCTTCCGTCTTGGTGTATCCACTACCCACTGGGCAAAGGTTAGCACTGAATTGAGAAGATAAGGAAGATACTTACGGTTCCCCTCCACCTTGGATGTTTTCGTGAGTAAACATGGGACGCTGTGGCTGAAATGAAACGATGTTCAATGTCATCAGAGCTTAAACTGGTACTAACAAAAAGATAATTGAATAATAGCATGGTGCTTTTTTTTTTTTTTTTTACATTTAATAGTTCCTGTTGTAAAAAACCAAAAGGAAAAAAAAAAAAAACCACAGGGGTTTGGCAGAATCAATAATTAAAGTTTTTTGAAAGATGCTTTGAGTCAAGTAAAAATAATCCAGGTTCAAATGCTTTGAATACGTTGTAGTCTGTGCAAGATTTTAGTAAACATTGGGGTTTAGTCCTATTGATTTTTCAAAGGCCAGGAATATGGCAAGAACATGGACGTCAGACCACTAGAATAAAAGGTACAGATGGCTTCATATTACTTGATGCTTCAGTGTTTTCTCGGACAAGCAGGAAATGAGCACTTTTAGAGCAACGACAGAATATCCACACACTCTTTCAATTTGTCCCTCCCCAACACCATTTTCACACAGAGCACAGATGAAGATCTCAATGGCAGACATCCCATGCTACATTTGAGTTGACATTCTCCGTTCTCCATGTGGAGCAGACACATGCAGGCTTAAAAAGAGGAAACAGAGAACTTGAAGTAGAACTGAACAAACAATATCCAGGTAACATGTAACATTTTACCTTCGAAGAGAAACATTGGTAGGAATTCCCAGTGCATTGAACTCTCAAAAGAGTTTCCTTGTTTTTTAAACTAAGCATCATGACCAGTATCTGTAATAGATACTTATAATATTGGAAATGACAAGCCTTGGCATCCCATACATACATTAGCATAAATAGTTCACAGAATGAAAGTTAGAGTGCTTGTTGAAAATGGAAACTCATACAGACCATCTAAACGTTACCTGTTAGGGGGAAAATGCACAAACTCATTTATAAAACATTTCCAAAGCATTCCTTTGAAGTTATGGTTACAAATGACAAAATCAGAGTCTGCCTGCAGTTACAGACTTGACTCTGATGATAACTGAAGAAGTTCCCAGATCCGTGGAGCCAGATCTTGGTCATGAGTGGGTTATTGATGGGATGGAAATATTCTGAAAATTCACACAGGAACTCACTGGCGCAAGCCTGGATGCTACGATCAACCCCAGTCCTATGTTTTTACCCACCTACTTCCTGTCCAAGCTCTCTTTCTAGCATGACATTGAGTGCTTACAGTACGAGTCGGAGCAGGTACTAGCTGTACTCTAAGAAGTGTTACTCAAAAGTCCATGCACTGAACACAGAAAATTAAAAATATAGATAGAACCACTGGATATCTATATGACTTAACAGTATGAAATAATTGATTCCTGTAAATAAACACAAAATTATGAACACATATTTATTATTTATTATTAAGAATACAGGATATATTGCTTGAGCCATTTCTAAAGTCATTTAATTCAAGATGTTATTAAGTAAACTTAAAATATTAAAGATATTTATGACTCCTGTATAAGCCTGTTTCCTGTTACACTTCTTCAAGCTTTCATCCAATCAAGCTCATAAATACATGTTTAAATGCAGAGATAAGATTTGTATATATCAGCTGTTATGAAAATGACTTTCTAATAATTTCTTGGTTTAATTTTATTTGTCTATAGAATAATGCTCCCTCACATGTGTTTATATGTCCTGATTTACTTAACCATTTCTCTCTTTTTTGTTTTTAAGGATTAGTCTGTCTTTTTTTTTCCCATTGAAATAAATAAAATAAAATGCTACAAATAATTTTTGTACCAAGAATCATTTTCTTGTTTTGAACTATTCCTTAGAATCAATTCTGGGGAGTAAAATTTCAGGCCAATCAGTATGCAATAGGGCCACATTAATTTGAAAATGCTCTTGTTAGTGACCCCTCAAAATGCCAGGAACACAAAAATTGCCTTTAGGAAATATATAATATGCTACATTTTAAATCACATACCAGGATAGCTAATATCCCGTTACCGAAACAAGTTTGGTACTATTTACAGTGCATAACAAAGCTACGAATAACAAAATGTTAGTTGGTGTTAGTAGAGAACGTTATGGAAAATATATTTCATCGTGGTATAAAAACATATGTCTATTTCCATGCACTGAAGGCATTTTAATATTTCTAAATCGAGACAGTTATCACTTTCATAGCATGACATTCAGCACTTGGTAAAATTGGCTGGTCTAATGATTTGAATTAGTACTTGAATGAATTCATTCAGATAGCATTTGACCTGCAGAGGGATAAAATGGCGTGGACTGTCCCCTTCCGGTTTTGGCAATGACGACCGTATGGCCGTGGGAAGGCATCTCAGCTTGTGTGTTTCTGGTTTCACTGAGGGTAACAGGCCGAGTAGCTTTGTTTCTCTCTGAGAGCTGATAAAGGAATTCCCATTTCCGCAGCTCTGCTTCCTCTGCCCTTTCAAGCTCCCATCATTTGCCTGGCACAATCAGTTGTCAGAGAGTTAGGGCAAATGATATTTACCTGTTGATTCTCACAGTTCTCCGTCATGTAAAGACAGTAACGGTAATAATTCAATTTTATTTGGCAGATTAGCAGACCAAGGCCTCAAGATACTGGATATATTTCTTAACATGACCGGTTAGAAAAAGAAAAAACAAAAAACCAGAATCGTAATCTTGACTTCCACGCTCCATTAATGAAAGATTACTATGACGGAATACATGGTATAAATAGTTATTTTTGAGGTTTAATTTCTCCATCCAGCGGTTTGGGTGTTTGAGAAAATTACTCCAGTCTAACTTTTGCCTTTCCTTTAGGACGTGTCTGCACTTTATCACCACCTAGTGGTAATACGACGCAATAACAAGCTGGAAGCTGTTGTCAGCCTTTGATCAGTCTTTGCCAAGTGCCTTTTGCCTGGACTCACTTTGAAAAGATAGTTTAAAGATCACAGAAGAAGGTAGGATGGCAGCTTTTCTGTTTTTCTGACCACATTCCTCCTTCCCCATGTTTGAAAATTTTAAGAAGAAGGCACCAGTATTTTTGGCCTGTGTTTATTTCTATTTTCACCACCTGCTCAGTCACTTTTATTACTCAGATCCTCTCAGTAGTTTGGTGATAAAAATAGAACAATGTACATCTGTGACATTCAGGGAGGCTTACATCAACCTACGTCTTAAGAAGAGGGTTTTCAAGTCAACACGTTGCAAGCACTACTGGTGGGAATGTTGAGCAAGAATTGTATCATGCCTATATTTCTGTGATTATTATTTAGGACTATGATAAAACTTAGAAAATCCACAAACCACCCTGCCAGTTCCATTGTATCTTAAATATTTCACTTTTTACTTGGCAGTGTAGTAGTTTCTTTTTGTTGTTGTTTAATGTTAACTGAGAAGGGAGACAGAAGAGGCATGCATTTTAAATAAGGCTAATTTTCAAAGCCAGAACTAGCCATAAGCCACTGTTTGTAAAGAAGCCAGTTTGAAATCTCCTGGAATCTTTGGCATCAGTGTAATATGTGATTCCTTTGTCAGATGATAAGATACAGGCTTCCTGAAAGCCATCTGGCCAGCTAACCTTTTACAGATGCATCTTCGAAGGGTGAGTGATACGCAGCATTGGATAAAGGCTATCACTTTATATCTTAATGCATAAAGATCATGGAAAGCAATATAAGCAGCTCTAAAGTTCTATTTTTTTCCCCTGAAACTTTTAATTGCAGTGCTTGTCAACCAGAGTTGGATGAGCCACAGTGCTATGCTTCTGTCTGTTGTTCTACTTTTGTTTCTTATAAAGGTAAAATGCAACTTGGCATAAATTTAAAGGAAATAGAATATGTGTAGTTCACACATGTGTGCATAATATACAAATAGATAATGTAAAAATCTGGCAAAGAAAAAGCTGAGGGTGACTGCAAGCCTGCCGTCTCACTGACCAGGGGAACTCGGGAACGTATGAACCATAGCAAACGCTTTCTTTTTGTGTTGGCTCTCGACTCCTTTCAGTGACTTTGAGATCCCTACATTCCTCTCTCTGTAGGGCAACAAATTGAGATCTGAGTACGCAAAGCAAAAAAAAAAAAAAAACCAACCAAACAAAAAGACATAAACACAGAAAAGCATTTGCATCTTTCCAAAAATTGAAAAGAAAAATTTCTTTGAAATTAAACCCTGGAGAAGTTGACATGCAGAACCACAGCTTCACAGTAACAGGATTCAGACAACCCACTCCAGGAACTGATGAATCTTTAGGCACAAATGAAAATCCCCAAACTCCTGGGTTGAGTTCCTCAGAATCGAGAGTACCAATTGGGATTCCATTTATTTTAAAGTACAATGGCTATTACACAATTAAGGTTTAAAGGAAAAGTAATGGAGTTTTTAAATTCAGAGTTGGCAAGAAGTTGGGAGTACCAAGAGTCTAGAGAACAGCATTGGCCAGAAAAGGGGAGTGGATAGTGCACACATCACCCGGGCAACAAAATATTTTGAAACAAAGATCATGGATTTCTAAAAGTCCGAATGCACTGAAGGACACAGATACAAACATTACTGAAAGTGTGAGTTCGGTTTATAGTTGCAACAGTTGTACTAAAAACCATGACTGGAAGGCAACAATTTCATACAGACATAGAGGATGGACACAGAACACAAGGTGCACCACATCCTTATTCATACAGTGGAGAATTTGACCATATCCTTCTGGGGTTTGGAAACCACACAGGTGAGAGGAATTTCATTGCCCAAAGACTTAGGATAGGATCGCTGTGCTGAATTGGTTTCTAAGCTCACCAGCAGTTGGCCGCTTCAGCATATGTGAGAGCATCTGCTGCCAGCCCTCCTCAACTGCCAGTTCACTACAAAGACAATTTTGGAAAAGCCAGCCAGTGGGGAAATAAGGTGGTTGGAACAACCAGCATGAGGACATTCTGACCCTACCCTGTGGGAAGCGCTGAGCCCTCTGATGGGGGAGCCGGAGGATCTCCTAGACATCACTGGGCTACGAGGAGGCTTACCCAGGACAAAGAGCTCGCATTTTAAACCAGCCTGGAAAAGC